TCTCCACCCGGGATTGTACGTGTTGGAATAGGGGTCATTGGGCTGCCGGTTCTGATAACCTTGGAGGACATTGACATCTGCATACTGTTCTCCTACCTCCTGGTCAAACGCTGCTGGGCACACCTCGGATCTATGCCTCTGAACTCCACATGCCCCGCATGTGTCTACTGCCATGGTGTGCACTGACTGGCCTCCTCATGCATTCATTAGCCACATTTGCTCTGTGAGTTCGACTATTTGATGGGCCATCATATCTTGAGTAGAAGATACCTCGTTGACCACGACCCTCTTCCCTCGATTGCTCTTTTGAGATGAGTTAGCACTCATCGTCTCAAAGATCTCATACATCTCTTCGGCCGTCTTCGCACCAATGTCTCCCCCTGCAACGTTGTCAACCATATATTGCAAATTCTGGTTGAGGGAGTCGTAGAAGCAATTCATCAGTAGTCCTGGTGAAAGATTGTGGTGGGGACACTGCCGCTGGAGATCCTTGAATCGCTCCCAGGCCTCGTGAAGAGGCTCACTCGGTAGTTGGGCAAACGAGACGATATGTGACCGGAGCTCCTGAGTCTTCTGATGGGAGTAGTACCTCCCAATGAACTTCGTGTAAACCTCGGTCCAGGTAGTCAGAGATGCCGGTGCAAGTGTCATGAACCAGGCTTTGGCCCGGTCTTTCAATGTCTCGGGGAAGCACCTCATCTTCAACTGATCCTCATTCAGCCCATTCAGAGGGAAGGTGTTGAGGACATTGTAGAATTCTCGGATGAAGTTAAGCGGGTCTTCGCTTGGGAGCCCATGGAATGCCAGCAGCTGGTTGTAGTGAATTATTTTTAGCTCATAATTCTGTGCAGGATCTGGCAAACGGATAGACGAAGTGACTGGCCCGATAACCGGTTGGGCTAAGGTTCGGAGAGTGTTACGAGGCAGTTGTTGCTGTTGTTCATCCATGTCGACGTTACTGCCTTTTGACGATTTCGGGGAGTGCTCGTCTCCTTCGTTAGATTCGAGAGTAAGCTCCTCCAGCAGCTCCCTCAGGCTCTCGTTGACTGATTTGTTGATCGGAGATAGCAATTTGCGTCCACTCCTGGTACGCATACACTAAGACCAACAAGGGTTACGAGCACCAATGATAAAAATAAAATAAAAACAAAATAAAATAAGAACTAACACCTAACAAATAAAAAGAAATCAAGAGAAACACGGAAACAAGAAAAATCACAAGAAATAAGAGGAACACTAAAAACATGATGAAAATGCTGACAAAATAAGTCCTAAACCTTCCCCGGCAACGGCGCCATTGTGTTGTAGTTATTTTTACCGGAGTAGAATCGAAAGATTCGAACACCGGGTCGTATCTCAAGGAAGGTCAGCCGGATTACTTCGTACGAATATTCAATCACAAAAAGAGAAATTAAATCCTAAACATTCTAATCAGATTAATTTAGTTTGATTTATCTACTACGAATAAAGATAATCCTAACTATTCAAATCTCACAACTCCAAGCACAAATTCAAAAAGTAATAAAGAGGCTAGGGTTTCGGGGATAATCGCTTCCGGTTCTCAAAACATTTAATGGGCAATCAATTACTCGGCCGAAGGACTCGAAAAACTAACCATTTAGAGATTCATTCTCAATATCTCACGAAACAAGAGAATAAATATAAACGAGCACTTATCGAACCAATCAGCAGATAGACAATACGTCACCGAACAAGCCTATTCTAAACGAGCCTAGATCAATCGATTTCTCCCCTTTCAGTTTTGAAATCAATTAATTAGATTGAGATGAAGCTCAAACATCTAACCCTATGTTAAGCACAACACGAAAAGATGGAGTAATTATCAAGCATGTAAACGAGATCGAACCGGAACGACAGTCCCCTAACCCTAGCTAGGGAATTTAGCTACTCATAGTGATTCCAACACAAACATTCATATCAAACAAAGCCATAACATTCATCAATGAAATGTAAAAGAAAGCTTACGATAAATACGAATCCAATGTGAAAGAAACACGAGCAATCCAAATCCAAAAGCTTAATCTTGGTGTTTTCACAATCCAAGATCAAATCCTAATCAAACTAAGAGAAAAATCTGTTCTGGAGTGAAAAAAAACGAGAGCCGTTCAAAACCTAGGTGAAAGGAATCCGTCCAAAAACTGAACAAAGTCGCAAAAATAAAAAAAACTGCTGTCGCGACCCCCGCGGCCGCGGAGAAGAAAATCTCGCGGCCGCGACTGTCCCCGAGGCCGCGAGCTCGATGGGCTAGAAAACCGAATTTTTGGACATCTCGTGGCCGCGACTTCTCCTCTTCCGCGGCCGCGGCGAGCGTTTTCTGCACGGCAAATTTTTGGGTTCGTGTTCTCGCATCCGGATTCGGAATTTAATCCCGTCTTCTCCAATACAACCCCAACTCATCCATCTAGACGATGAACCTCGCATGGCCATGCACCGAGCCAACAAACCTGCACATCACCACCGACAAAAAACACAGAAAACCGGGAAAAACGAACAAAAAGACCAACAAACGACTAAAACAAAAGAAATGCATGAAACGACTCAAAACGGACCAAAAACCAAAGAAAATACCTAAGGAGGGGAAAAATAAGCATAAAATAAACAAGAAAAACATGACAAAAGCGGAACGAACATAGCTGGAACGGTATGTTAGTTAGCTGGTCTCGCTATCTGAGCAGGTTTAGATGGATATGACTAATTTTAATTTTGTGCAATATTTTACAAAAAAAAAAAAATTGTGTTGCGATCGCGTGTTTATAGGGTGAGCAATATTTTACAAAGAAAAAAAACAATTATGTGCATGCGCGTGTGTACGGGGTAGAGACCGAACGGTCAGGGAAATTAAATTAACAATTAAAATCTATCCGGGATCGTGAAGAGAAAGGCTATAATGAACAGAAATGAGACCAAATGCTTTTTTGGTCCAACAAATTGCACATTTCACTTTTTTCTCCATTATCTATATTAGTTGAGTTTCTTTTGGCTGGCATTAGTGGTTGATACTCACGAGTGTTTATAGTTTGACAGGTTTCTTATTTTACCGTTGCATTGCAGTCTGTCGGCTACACAACAGTTCCTTTTTTCGTTATTGCCTTAATCTGGTTCGTCTCATTTGGGCTTTGCTTGTCTCTCATCTGCCTCTGCTACTGCTGCTGTCGATAGGAGCCATATGGGTATTCCGGGATTGCTTATGCGCTCTCTCTCATTTTCCTCCTTCTCTTTACCGTCATTGCAATGTACACCTCTCTCTCTCTCTCTCTCTCTCTCTCTCTCTCTCTCTCTCTCCCACAAACACATAATGGTGTATTATTAGTAGCAAAAAAATATTTACATACCTTGTTTGTTTTTCAGGATTGGATGTGTTGTGTTGTACGTCGGGCAAGACAAATTTCATAGCAGTACAAGCAGCACTTTGGAATATGTGGTCCATCAGGCAGATGGCATATCCGACAATCTTAGGAATGTGTCGCAATATTTGTCGGAGGCCAAGCAGATTAATATGGTTGGTCAAGTGTCTCTGCCTCCAACTGTCCAAACAGATATTGATCAGATCCAAACCAATGTCGACTCTGCAGCTCGTACTCTATCCGAACAAACGCACGACATTTCCAAAAAAATAAAGAACCTGATAGAATCAGTGTAAGCAGACGCCCCAAAATAAGTAGTGTTGTTGAAATAAGTGATACAATAAATTTGATCTTGCAGGAGATTGGCTCTTATCATACTCTTATCATACTCTTTGAATTATGGATGCAGCTTGGTGATTACTGGATGGATTCTTGTGACTGGAACATTCATACTCTGTGGCATTTTTCTTTTTCTCCACAAGTAGGTTAAGCTATACGAAGAATTTATATTATTATCACATGATTGTGAGCACTAGTTAAAATATCCATCTGACAGTCCTGATTAGTTGATGACATTTAGTGTGACGGGAGACACCTGCGTAGCAATGAATCAGTGGGTCCAAAACCCGACAACTCAAACAGCTCTAGACGATATACTGGCGTGCGTGGATAAAAGCACTGCTGAGGACACGTTGAACAGAAGCAAAGAAGTAACATCTCAGTTAGTCGATTTGATTAATACGGTTATCACTAATGTCTCCAACATCAATTTTGCTCCCAACTTTGTGAATTTATACTACAACCAATCGGGTCCGCTTCTGCCAACCCTCTGCAACCCGTTTAATCGTGACCTAACCGAGGGAGCATGTACCCCTGGCGAGGTGGATCTCAACAATGCCACCCAGGTATGTGTGCCAGGCATCAGCAAACGGCATTTGTATGACCACGGGACGTTTGAATCCAAGCCTCTATGGTCAGAAGGCAGCCACTGTCAATCTGAGCTACGACTTGTATCAATATGGCCCATTCCTTTTTGGCCTACAAGATTGCACCTTTGTCCAGCAAACATTCTCGGATGTCCAAGTTGAGTAATGTTCGGGCCTATGAAAGCACAGCCAGCGAGTCTATGATGGGCTGCTCATGGTTGCAATAGCAGTTATGTTGTCTTTAGTATTGTGGGTCATATATGGAAGAGAGAGGCTGCATCGTGCCTATGCCAAAGAGCATCATAGTAAAGCTAATAAAACATTGCCGGAAGGTCGTGAGCATAAGATGAAGAAATAGTTTTCAAGTTTCAAACTCATGCATGGTCCCTTCTTAATCCAGATTATTGTTAATCCCAGATATTTCTTCATGTATTTGTACTTTGAAAATTATGTGTAGATAGTACTTTGTGCCTGTTTCAATTCAAAAGGCTATGGTGGGTGGATCTTGTATGCAAAGTAAATGGACTTCTATAATCAGGTTCACTGGGCATAAAGCTAATTATCAAATTTTCATCAAAATCATATTCATGGATTGATTGAGTTCTTTGTAGAGGAAGAGATATAAGAAATCTATTACAAAGGAAGAGATATAAGAAATCTACTAATCTACAACCATGGATTTAGCCTCTCTGTATGCAACACAACATTTCAAGCAGATGGCATTGTTGTTTCAATTGTTTGACTTGTTAACAATTCAATTGTTTGACTTGTTAACAAGAATAGCCATCAGTTCCCCTCTTAATTAGACAACTTAAAATGAATTCATGTTTATATCAAAATTAAGTTCCATTTCACACAACTCCACTGTTCTCATCATCCACACCAGCATATATTGCAACATTCCCCTATATACTTGCATGCACACATACATATATATAATATCTACATGATAACAAGACATATTTTTTTTTTTTTTTTGGTTCTCGGCCAACTTAACCAGCGATGGGCCTTTTCATCGTCACTCTTACTTTGAGCATCAGGAAGAACATAAGCATGGGAAGTAGTCTCTTGCTGACTAGATCAGACCTCGATCAATCTCGACTGATTGTTGTCGAGTCCACTTGATGCTCAAATTCAACCTTCCTGAATCGGTACCATCAATAAGGAAACTAATTGTAAATTCTCCCTCCAATATGGCTCTCGTCAGAGTCATGATGCATCTACTCATTTTCTCCTGAAAATACATGAGTGAGAGGCGAGGAAATTTTAAAATGAAGCACGAGAAATATTAACTAACTTCACAACTTCTTTTTTTTTTTGTTTCACCTTCCCAAATGTGTCATGGTCATAAACATCAAGGATTAGCAACTCATGTAACCCATCCTCAACTACAAAATCGAAGGTCTGATTCCAAACTGGATTCAAGGTATCGTTGAGGACCTGATAAAAGGGCATTTAGAGATAAAGCCAACAGAAGGATTTATATATTAGAGCGAATCAGTTGGATTTACACAATTTGATCATCTTAGAAGATTAATTAATATACTTACCCTAGTCTTGTAGGTCTGTTCAGACTTCTTCATTCTTAGCACCACAAAAGGATCAGATTTTCCCAAGATATCTTTAGCTGGCAAGTTCTCTGCAGATATGACCGTCACTGATAGAACTCCTCTAATAATAACATCCCTTTTTACTCTCGTTGATTTAGGGAATCTGCCCCATCAAGTGCTTCTTTGAAGGCCTTCTCCACCGTCGTTAATCTGAAGTCAGGGTAAAAAGGATTTAAAAATTCGCTCTCAGCATTCAGAGGGCAGTACAGGAGCTCCAAGTGCACCTACAATAAATCAAAGATAGGTGTAAATCAGTAAATCAAACCAGGTAATATGCACAACTTTCAACAGATGCTCAATAAAAAACTGATAACAAGAGAAGATACTACACACTTCATAACATGCTTTTAGTAATAAATGCATAATTCTAAAACAAAGAAAAGCATATCGTGATAATGTACACTGATAATATGTACACTTCATAATGTAATTTTATTTCATTACTTCTAGTCATTTTTTTTAAAAAAAAAGACATAAATTTAAGAAACTGAGTGGGGATATAAGTTTGGTCATCTCACCTGACCACGGTTTTTCTGGTCTTTCTGGATCTCAAGATCCTTCACCAGTTTCAACCACACATCTTTAACTTTACCAGCCTCAAGCTCGCCTAGTGGTAATTGAGCACAACTAATTAGTTCAGAAGCTTGAATTCCTTCATCATCATAAACTCTTATGGTCAAATGTTGGGTGGTTACATCCTCCACAACAAACTCAAAGTGCTCGTTCCAGATTGGACTTGTTTGATTGTTCTGCGACATATAATGTGCAGTTCTACTAATAACTGAAAAGTATGATATAATAAAGCACATAAAAGACAGAGGTTCTTTACTATTGTTTTGCTAGTTTTTATCCGGTCACGTAGGGGACGGACGAATAGCTCGGCAAATGGATCAGATTTTCCAATTATGTCCTTATTTGTTAATTCCTTTGCTTCAATGAGCTTCACATTCAAAGTCCCCACTGGCTTTAACTCTAGGTAACTGTAACAAGTAAGAGATACCAAAAAACTCTTCTAAGTTCACATAATTCGAGCAATGACATGCTGTTAGTTTGACTACAGGGCAAAGAGATAGTTAACCTGTAATCTCCTGGTAATATGGGTATGATTTTACGTACTGGCCAAGTGATAGAATCTTCAATAGCATCTCGTATTGTTTCCTACGAGTGAAAGACAAGATAAATCAATGACATTCTCATCAATCCTATCAAGTTCGAATACACCACATGGCGAGTCATAATGAGAAAATTAACAGACCTCAAGAGCATCAGATACTCCTGGAATTGCTGATATATCACCGCCAATCACTTTGAGGCTAAAGTCGAGATTTTTCTGCAGGCAAAAACATGATATGTGAAACTCAAATGAAGTTACTATGAAAATATTGTGCATTCCAGTTGGAAAACGTTGCAATATGAGAGCCCATTTTCAAACACTTGTTAACACACACCTAGAAACTCAAAACACCATCAGTTCGGACACCATGTTTATCAAACAGTGAACATGACATGTACCTTCTCTCTCAATGAATAACAAAGAGCTCCAAAACAGGGAAACTCATCAACTAATGGTTTGAATATTATCCTAAAAACCCCAGTAAATCCAATATTTTTTACCTGCAGGCAGAGAAAACATTTAGAAATAGATCTAGTCCTTGAGTTGTGAAGGGACATCGAGTGAGGAAAAAATGTGTGGATAGATAAGTTTCTCTTCTTCCACGTCAACAGAAATCAGAAACAGGATAAAGCGACAGCACCGTAATGTTCATGGTAAAAGTTTGCTAATACCTGTATTGGTAGAGTTACACCAAGTCTAGTCTTTATATCAAGTACAATTTTAGGATTTCCATCCCACTGCAAGTCCAATTCCATAATTATCTCGTCAGATTCACCCTCGATGATGGAAACTCCTTAAAGAGAGAGAGACCAGAATAGAGATAAATGAATTGTAAGCTCCCTTAGGACCCATTGCTTAAGTTGGATAGCATCATTTGCAAAACTCTTAACATAAAAATAAAAAATGCAGTGGATTATCATGATTATATGATTCCGTCCACAAAAATAACACAGATTACACAACTGGAGAGTAAATATCTCCACATGACATCCTAGTTCACCATTTTCTTATCCAACCCATCTAAGCTATTCTTTCTGGAAAAGCAGGACAAGGAAGCAGACTTTTGCTAGGCAAAGAAAAAGGAACTGAACCAACCTGTGAACTGAGGTGGCACAGTACCAAGAGTCAACTTAGAGAACTTTAGAGATGCCAAAATTGCTGGACGGTATTGCTCAAGAATTGGTTCTACAGAGCTTCTTATAGCCTCTGATGCTGCCTACACAACAGAAACAAGTCCTAAAAGAAGAAAAACCGAAGTGCAAAAAGGAAATAACAATCATGATGACATCAGGAGAGTTTAAGGTGCCAAGTGCCAACCTCGTCGACATAAGGCCATATCTTGTCAAGGTGGTGATTGAGCCAAGTTAACTGCGAACGAGTAGAAAATACAAGAACAGAGAGCCATGTTAGAGGCTTCGCCACACAATGATTATGACAGAGAAAACAATAGGTAAATTCTCAACTCAACTTCTGTCTCTCTGAGAAGACAACCCAAGATGGGTATAACTGATCAGTGGGAAGGAGTTTTTTGGAGTCTTGAACTGTCATCCTCGCAAAAGCTGCAATTACTTCTGCCTGGCAGAAAAATACTACATAATATTGAAGAGCATCCATCTCGAGTTGAAAATCAATAATAATCGATGATTGAGCAAGCTGGATACCAACCAAATCAGTGCGGCATTTTGATCGGACATTTTGGTACCGCGCAAAGCACACGATCAAACCCATCCCAAAGGCGAAGCCTAAAACATAACCTACAACAAATCCCATCTCTTCAAGCTATGCTGCGTGCAGAAGAAAGGAGGACGGCGTCTTGATCTTATGTTACGAATTGGGGTGTTGGATTCTTTCATAAAAGTTTGTTAGATGGGTGACGAGTTGAAGTGATAATAAGTGGAAATTTGTTGACAGGAGTCACAGGACATTTGTTCTATGATTAAGGAAAGTACTGGAGAAAGAGAGCAGAATCTATCCCTTTTCGTGTGCTCTGTGTAACTTTCATTTCATATGAGAGAATGACTGACCGCCAAAGACTAGTTAAAAATGAAATGATAATAATAATAATAATAATAATAAATTATTTATAATTTAATATATAATTAAACTATAATCTCGACAAATATGAAGTAAGGTAATTAACTATAAAAAATAAATTATAATTAAAAAATGAATACAGTAAAATATAAATTCATTTGTGTAACTGATACAAATTGTACAATAACATTATTACTAATTTTCTAACATACGTTATACCGTAACAAATTTATTATCTATTACTATGATAGGATATGCATTAGGTTTTGAGTTTGAAATATCAATTTAAGTTTCAAATTTTATTTAGTACTTAAGAAATAGGATATTGAAAAATTAATAGAGATCTGTACTGTACAGGATCCAGTAGAAATGGGCCGGAGAGTGTTGCAATAGCCCAGGAAAAAGCCTGGTTAGAAATGGGGCTTATGTTAGAGTAGATCTGGGCCCATTCGATGGGAACCGAGTCAAAAAGATACCCTCCACGTGGCAACAATCTCCTTATCCTCTCTCCCTCTGTTTAACTACCACAACTGTCTCACTCTCTCTCTCTCACACACATCACATGCTCACGCATCCCAGCATTATCTCCGTGACCTACTCACAATTGGACCTTTCTCAAGCAAAGAAGAAGAATGGCAGGAAATGACTGGATTAACAGTTATCTGGAGGCGATCCTGGATGTCGAGCCGGAATCAACGATCAGAAATCATCACTGCTCCTGCGCGAGCGTGGTCGCTTTAGCCCCGCTCAGTACTTCGTCGAAGAAGTCATCACCAGCTTCAATGAGACCGATCTCCACCGCTCTTGGGTTCGGGTATCTCATCCACCGTTTTCAATAATATTTTTGTTTCCTATTTTTATTTCATTTTTCTTTTGGCGAAAATTCATAAGATTCATGCATTGCAAGAGCATTTCAGATTTTTCATGTTTCAACTCTGCTTGCTGCAGGCATCATCAATTCGGAACTCGGAGGAGAGGAATACAAGGTTGGAGAATATGTGTTGGAGGATATGGACCTTGGCCCGCAAGAAAAAACAAGTAGTCCTGCTTTTCTTTTTTCATTTTCTTGTTTACCACTATCACCCAATTTTAGTCATTTTTTTTAAGGTTGAATCTGTTATCTGTCTGCTTTGCTAATTGTATTTCATTTACCGACTTATGAGTAATTTATGCATCATCAACTTGATTTGACCTGTAGATTGAGGGTGAAGAAGCACAGCGTAGGACGAAGAGACACCTTGAACGAGAGAAGGCCCGGAGAGAGGCCACAGCTGATATGTCGGAAGACTTATCAGAAGGAGAAAAAGGAGATACAGTTTCTGATCTTTCAGCTCATGGTGACACAGGTAGTGCCAGAGGCAGAATGCCCAGGGTTAGTTCTATCGACATGATGGCAAATTTGGCCAGTCCCCATGCAGACAAGAAGCTTTATATTGTCCTTATCAGGTCTAATGAATTTTCTCCTCTCTCCTATGTTATGTTAAAGGTATACGTCGACAAGTAATCTAATATTTCATTCATTCATTTTCTCCTTTTCTGTAGTCTTCATGGATTGATTCGTGGAGAAAACATGGAACTTGGAAGGGATTCTGATACAGGAGGCCAGGTAAGCACATATCAGCTCTCTTTATTTAAAGTATAATAATATACAATAATAACTCAATATCTAGTTCTGGTTAAAGAACACGACTTGGCCAAGTTACGGTGTGTTGTCAGGTTAAATATGTTGTTGAACTAGCCCGAGCCTTGGGTTCTATGCCCGGAGTTTATCGTGTTGATTTGCTGACAAGGCAAGTAATGGCCCCAGATGTGGACTGGACTTATGGTGAACCAACAGAGATGCTAAACCCATTGAACTCAGAGAATGAATTCGGGGAGAGCAGTGGGGCATATATAATTCGCATACCCTTTGGCCCGGAAGATAAGTACCTCTCTAAAGAAGTTCTGTGGCCTCATATTCCAGAATTCGTTGACGGTGCACTCGGCCACATCCTGCAGATGTCTAAGGTCCTCGGCAAGCAGATTGGGAGTGACCAGCCACTTTGGCCTATTGCCATCCATGGCCACTATGCTGATGCTGGAAACTCTGCTGCTCTCATTTCTGGAGTTCTGAATGTGCCCATGATTTTCACTGGCCACTCACTCGGACGTGACAAGCTAGAACAACTTCTAAGACAGGGGAGACAATCGAGGGAGGAGATAAATTCAACTTACAAAATAATGCGGCGTATAGAAGCTGAGGAGATGACTCTTGATGTTTCTGAGGTCATAATCACGAGCACAAAACAGGAAATTGAGGAGCAATGGCGTCTTTACGATGGATTCGATCCGGTTATAGAGCGCAAGCTTTGAGCTCGTATCAGACGTAATGTTAGCTGTTATGGGAGATCTATGCCGCGTATGGTTGTAAGTTATCATACTGCTCATCTTCATAGCTTATGGCTCTTGATTGTCCTTTTCTCTCTGTGGAAAAAGTCCTCCATTGGTATAGGGGTCACTAGTTTTTTTAGTATCATGCCAGTTATACTTTTGTGTAACTGTGTATTTAGGTAATTCCTCCTGGCATGGAATTCCGTAATGTCGTTGCACTAGATGGAGACATTGATGGAGAACTGGAAGGAAATGGAGATAGTTCTGGAACTCCTGATCCACCTATTTGGTCAGAGGTGGTCTATTTTATGCTCTCTGTATACAATTAACCAAAAAAAAAAAATCATTTTTTTGCGACATAAGTTTGGAAAAGGTTTTCTGATTCTTTTTACGTGGACTCAATCGAAAAGTAAGTTATTTAAGCCTCTTTTGTCTTCTTTTCCGCCACCAGATTATGCGTTTCTTTAGCAATCCACGCAAGCCTATGATACTTGCTCTTGCTAGGCCAGACCCAAAGAAGAATCTGATCACTTTAGTCAAAGCTTTTGGAGAGTGTCGCCAGCTGAGAGATCTAGCAAACCTAGTACATAGTAGGTTTTGCACATTCGCAGTTATCCAGCTGATGAAACTTTTTAAAATGTGTAATAGTTTTTTTTTTTTTTTCTGATTGAATTTTGTGGCAGACTTTGATAATGGGAAACAAGGACACAATTGATGATATGTCTTCTACAAATTCATCTGTCCTCCTTTCTATACTCAAATTGATCGACAAATATGACCTGTACGGTCAAGTTGCATATCCGAAACATCATAAACAATCTGATGTTCCTGATATATACCGCCTGGCTGCAAAAACCAAGGTATAAATTGCATTGGTCTAGTGGCTTTGTATTTTAAAAACCGCCTAATGTGAAATGCTTGCTTTTGTAGGGTGTTTTCATCAATCCAGCTTTTATTGAGCCCTTTGGTCTCACCTTAATTGAGGTGTTACAAAACTCATTTCTTTTGTTATCAGTATTTTTCGTATTCATTTATAAGTTGTCCAAAATTTATACACCCAATGACTACTTAAAAAAACTTCATTTTCCCTGAGCAGGCAGCAGCCCGTGGTCTGCCAATTGTTGCCACAAAAAATGGAGGTCCCGCTGACATTCATAGGGTTTGTTGGCTGAAATAAGCCTCTATGCATATCGCTTGTACATATATATATATATATATATATATATATATATATATACATATGAATATCTTACAATGATGATGTCGACATCATAAATTGGTACTAGGTTCTTGATAATGGTGTGCTAGTCGACCCTCATGACCAGCAGTCGATTGCCGATGCCCTCCTGAAGCTTGTGGCAGACAAGCATCTGTGGTCCAAATGTAGGGAGCACGGACTCAAGAACATTCATCTCTTCTCATGGCCAGAGCATTGCAGGACATATTTAGCGCGAATTGTTAGTATATGTGTCCTAGAGACAATCAATTTTGGGACAAATGTACTTGATCAAATTCATATTATATTTGATGATATTCATGGTTTTGCATTAATTGATGAATTCTTTTGATTGTCTGTAATTTATTAATTAATGGCTCCCTTGAGTTAATACTGTCATTAACAGAGTGAGATGTTAATTGATAGAGTATAACTCTTAAATTACCTCAATCGATGATCATTAAGAAAAGGGATATTAATGATACGTGATAGATTGACATGTGGTCTGCATCACCTTCTTTGAGAATATAGTATGTTTCACTACTATGAATAATTGTTATTCGTGATGGACACATAGATACTTTGGAGAGTATTGGTATACCCTACCGATAAACTATTTGTTTATGTGTCTATGGGAGTATCGGTGTGTGGAATAGTGTAATAGTCCTTTGACTTGAGGTCAATACGCAATTCATGTATAGAGCGATTTACTTAGACCTAGTCCAAAGCTTACGCCCTTATGGGTAGATACGAGCTTGTGTTGGGTAGATCACGATATACATGGAATTGGTAGTTGAGCCAAGATATGATTCATTCCTCGAATATAGTTTCAAGAGAACACTCGTTTTCTCTATACTGGGTTGATAAAGTCATTGGCCAATGTACGTGATTATATTTGAAATGGTGTTCAAATATAATTGATAAAATCAACCAGTGAGATGAGATAAAATGATTAATCTGTTTGGATAGACACATGTTCAAGTCTTAAGCTTAATCGAGTGGGTCGGGAATGAAAAGACCGTATCACTATTGAATTCCACACCAAAGGTTTGTTTGCTTTGTCTATGTAAACGTACTTCATATTTTGAGTTCGTCCTTCGACGCAATCTAAGAGTTTCGTGAGGATCATAAATCAGATTTATGTCAATATATGAAGGCCTATAGGGTCACACAATATGCAATCCATTTTCCGTCTAAGAGTGAATCGAGAGTGTTAAATATTCAATTGGATTGGAATATTTAATTTTAATAATTAGATTATTTTTTTATTCGATAGAAAATATATAATTAAGTTTAATTGGACTTAGACTTAATTATATCATTAATTGGATTAGGTCCAATTGCCTATTGGGCTATAGGTTATCCTAAAGCCCATATAATTAGGTTTGGCCTAATTATAAATAGGCGGTTATCTCATATCAGATATAGAGATCAGATTTTGAGATAGGCCGTAAAAACACAAAAACTCTCTTTGCTTTCTGACTGAGGATTTCTAGCGTTTTCACCGGAAAGGATTCACTGCGTTGGATCTGCATCGGGATCTGGATTGCGTGGATACCATAGTTGAAGCAAAGCTTAAACTGTAAGTTCTCGCAGATCTATGATCAAATCGAATAGCTATAGCCGGATCTTCATTGTTGGTAAGAAAATTTTAAAATTCCGCTGCGTGTGCGATTGATTCGCACGTCTAAAATCCAACACGAATAACGAGTTGCAAGCAGAGGCATCCAAAATGGCAAAGAAGCGAGGACACAAGTTCAGAATCCGATTCTCCCGGGAGTTCCTTGCGTGATATTCAGGACCTCTCTCTGAAGATGTCATTAGACGGTGAGAGGACAGAAGGCAGCATTGGCTCACTAATGCTCAAGAGCCAAGAAAGCGATAGGAGAAAGCAGCAGTACTCATCACCTGCTCTGAAGCTGCTGGCACCAAACAACGAGCCCATGGAGAAACCGGACAACTCCAGATTTCCTGTTCTGAGAATGAGAAAGTTAATCTCGTCATCGCCGTGGGTTCTGATTCGTTGGCTGATACTCTCAATAACAACAAGATGATAATGGAGGCGATGGGCAAGGATAATTCTCAGTCGGTCGGCTTTGTTTTATCGACATCCTGGAGCATGTCTGAAATAAATTCTTGGCTTCTGGAGAAGGCCCCCGAGCTAAAGTCGTGTTATTTTGTTGCTTTCATATGCAACAGCGGAAGTGAAATCTACTACCCGTCTGCAAGTCCTGATTCCGAGTCACAGTATGTGGTCGATTCGGATTATTATTCACACATCGACTATCGTTGGGGTGGGGAAAGCTTGAGGAATACCTTGGTAAGGTGGGCCACGTCTATCAATGATAAAACAAATGATGGAGCTGTCATCAGTGAAGTCGACTCGGAATCTTCCCACTGCTACGAATTCAGGCTTCGTGACCCTGACCCTGCAGTGGTAATAACTAATATATATATATATATATATATATATATATATATATAGAGAGAGAGAGAGAGAGAGTAGTGAAGAATCAGCAGAATCATCATCAATTATAATATTCATATGGTTGGTACTCTATATATGCTGCTATTTATTTATAATTAATTAATGTGGATTATTATTGTTGTATATATAGGTTCCTGGTTTCCAGGAGCTGAGGAGACTGATGAGAATACAGGCACTACGGTGCCATGCGGTGTACTGTAGCAATGGTGAGAGGATAAATGTGATTCCGGTGCTGGCTTCGCGCGCCCAAGCAATAAGGTATCTGTACGTGAGGTGGGGAATGGAATTGTCCAACGTGGTGGTTTTTCTGGGAGAGTCGGGGGACTCTGACTATGAGGGCTTGGTCGGTGGGCTCCACAAAACGGTGACTGTAAAGGGAAGCGGGTCTCGTGCAGCGGCCAATCAGATACACGCCAACAGGAGTTACTCTCTGGAAGATGTGGTGCCTAATGACGACCCAAAGAGTGCCGAATGCTATGTGGATGGCATCAGGGACACACTCCACAAACTGGGTCGTCTTAATTAATTAATTACCCGTATTCATTTATTTATATGCATGCAATTTGCAATTACTAGCTAGCTAGCTTAGCTTGCAAATAAATCTTCTTTTGTTATGATTGAGTTTCTCCACTTGTGGGCAAGTGCCAACTCCCGCATTACAGTAATTTGACTTTTTGCACTCACTGTGAAATTGGTTGTATCTTATACTCCAAGTTCTAGTTTTTGTAGTTGAACCTCAATCTGAGTTCTTAATTTCTGCTGGAGGTTGAGAGGCCATATACAAATATAATCCCCCAAACACTCTAGAGTTGCTTCAAAAATGAGTTATATGTCAGTTGAATAGATTTTGTCTGTTTGTCATCCATAGTATTTTCAATACAGTATGAATTTAGTGTGGCACATAATATTTTTTTTGTTATTATTTAATTATAGAAATTTTTTCTCACATCATACTTAAAAGTTGTAATACACGACATAAGAAAAACATGTATTTTATAGATATTTCTTCTATTAATTAATATAGGGCTTTTTTCATATTTAGTCAGCCACATCATGCTTAATAGTATTTTTGTTACTATTGATTCACAACTCAACATTTGTCACACAATCTATGCTATTAATTTTTTTACTACGTAAAATTCACATCATAAATATTTATCCCACAATTTACACTAAAATCCATGTAAGATACTCTTTAGTACTTATGGCATGATTGGTAGGAATGAATGACATGGGAATAGAATGATTATTCCCTTACTCATTCTTTATCTCATGATTGGTATATTTTTTGGGAAGGAATGATCATTCCAATGGGAATGACAAAACCCATTTCCATGGAATTAGTCATTCCATAGTAAATGGAAGGTTTTCTCATTCCCATGTGTGTAGGAATCAATTTTCCAAAAAATAAAATTAATAAATAATAATAAAAATATTATTAAAAATATATTACTATTAATAATATATTATTAAAAATATATTATCAAAAAATATTAAATTTATATATTATTAAAAATATATAAGTTTTTCCTTTTAAATATTATTAAAAATATATTTTTTAAAAAATAAATTCAAATAAAAAATTGAAAACTTATTTTTATTTACTGTTTAATTAAAAAATAAAATATAAATTATTAAAAATATATTACTTTTTATTTTTAAAAATTATTAAAAATATATTATTTTTTATATTTAAAAAATATATTACTTTTAAGAATATATTATTTTTTATATATAATATAAAAGTATATTATTTTTTTATATATTATTAAAAATATATTATTTTTTATATTATTAAAAATATATTATTGTATTTTTATATATTATTGAAAAATCATTTATACATAATTTATTAAAAGTATATTATTTTTCAAAAAAGCTTTTATTTATTTTTATAATAAAAAATAATAATGTCATTCCATTCCAGTCCTACTAGTGTGTACCCCGTGCGATGCACGGAAACAATATTAAATTAACAATATTATAAATAGACATCGAGTTTGAGTCACAATAGCGGAAGTGGAAACTACTATTGATCCTATTTAAAAAGAGGAAGAAAAAAAAATAATTATGAATTAAATAGGAGGATAAACAATATTTAATAATTATAAATTAAAGATTCGGGGTCAAACAATGTAAAATTATTTTGTGTAAGGGAATATAAAAAAATTTGATCACACACTATTTTCAAAATTATTATAATACTTTTTTGTATGGTTAGCTTATAATATTTGTAAAAATATTAGTAATTATACCGATGAAAATTAGCTTCTTAAAGTAGATAATGAATTTCTAGTAATAATTATGAATTGGTTTCTATTTTATTTTATTTTTTCTTTTTAAAGATAATGGATTTTTAATAGTAATTATGAATTGGTTTCTATTTTATTTTATTTTATTCTATTTTATTTTTTCTTTTTAAAGATAATAGATTTTTTAAACACGTGAGAAGTATGCAATGAGATTTTGTAACAGAAGAGATAAGCAATGGGATTTTGTAACTCGTATAGATTTATAACAACGGTTTTCATAAACTAAAAAAGGGGAAAAAGAGAAACAAAACTTTACACAATTATGAGCCGATTTTTTTGCCTATTCAGATTTGTCCAACAATTACTATATATAAAATATTATATTTAATGATTTTTGCGGGAAAAGTTTCTAAATTTGTAAAAAGGTTATTTTTTTTATATAATGATAGATTCCTTCTACATACCAAACACATCAATGACTAAACATGTTTCATTCAATTCCCATAATTATTCCATTCTGCAATTCATTCCATTCGTACGAAATTCCATTCCATCATACCAATCATGCCATTAGTAGTTAGTAGTACTATTGAAGAAACTCTTATTGAACCAGTAAAATTTTATTTCCAAAATATCTGGTCCCAAAATCACACTCAAAATATCCACACCCGAAGATTTAAGCAGCCGTCCAAAGTGAAACTTACAAATGAGCTCAAACGACATCGTCTCAACTAAAAGAAACGCACCTGTAAGAGAAAGGCGACTTTTAGTCTAAAACATATAATAAAAAAAAATAAAAAAGAAAACAGAACAAAATGAGACGCAACTCATTTCCATATATCCTGCATACATGCCACGTCACACACGACGTGTACGTGTTCAACAACTATTAATTTAGCAATAAAGTTGCATATGTTATCGAATTTTCCAAACTACATGGAAGATTTTCCGTGAAACAGTTCCGTAGTTTTAGCTCAGCCGTCATGAGCTTTTAATTGGTCATCAAACATAATCTGCAACTTGTTTTCTTTTTCTTTATTAAAAGAAAAAAAAAAAGATTAAATTATAAAATGAAGAAAAGATAAAATTCAAACGAAGCCATCACCATTTCAGGGCCATTTTCAGTGCTCATATTAAGTCGGGTGAAAGTAGGAAGAATAAGGCCTTGTTTGGCGATCAGCGGATAACGGATAGCGGATAGCAGATTGTATCAGCGGATAGTGGATAGCGGATTATATTAGCTGATTTGACCAACAGATTGCATTAGCGGTTTTTAAATAAGTGTTTGGTAAATAGCTGAAAGCTTATAGCTGTTTGACATTACAAAATGACCAATAAGAATATTTTATTATTTAGGGTGTATTTTTTTAATAATAATATATTAAAACATTTAATATTCTTTAGTTGGTAATTTATAAATATATTATTTTTTTCTTTAAATTGCCTAAAACTTGATGAAGAAGTTATGAATTTTACATTTTTCTAGATAAATTAATCATATGGATGACATATTATTATTTATTAGCACCATAAACCAATATAGATTTTAAAATAAATAATACAAATTAAAAAGTTCCAAGTAAAAAG